ATTAAATCTAAATTAAATTATAATAAAAAATTTAATTAAAGAACTTACACCAAAAAAAGAGAATTATTAAATAGTTAATTTTGATACTAATATTGATTTTTTTTTTCAAATTTATATTTTATTCAAAAATTAAAACATTTTCCTTTTTCAAAACCACATAAAACCTATATTACTTGATAGAAACAAAATAAAACTAAACATTAAAATTGAGATTTATGTCGTTGCATTGTTCGAGTATCTTTCTAATTAAAGTTGAACATTTTCATATTAAAGTTACTTTAAGATATTTCAGGGGTGTTAAGCTCTTGCTTACAACTTCACCATCGAAGTTTTGTTTATTTACATCTATGCCACCGCATTTCTTATGACACCAGATCTAGGGCTGTAAACGAATCGAACAAACACGAACGAATGCTTGTTCATGTTCGTTCGTTTAACTTAACCAAACGAACATGAATGGTAAACGAACGAAATTTTTGTATTCATATTCGTTCGTTTAGAAATCAGGTGTGTTCGTGTTCGTTATGTTCGTTCGTTAACATGCTAAACGAACGTAAACGAACACAAATAAATATTATTTGAATTCAAAGTAAATAAATAAAAGATTATATATTAAATTTAATATATAAACGAACGAATATAAACGAACGGTAAATGAACGAACGTTCACGAACATAAATGAAAAAAACGAGACTCTTGTTCATGTTCGTTTGTTTAACTAAACGAACAAAAAAAAATTGTTCATGTCCGTTCATTTATTAAATAAACGAACATAAACGAACTTTCCGCCGAATGGTTCGCTGAACGTTCAGTTCGTTTACGACCCTAACAAGATCAATTGGCGGATGAGGGCAACCAAAGGGTTCCTATAATTCTCACAAAAAATTCCTACACGATTCTAATTCTACACATATGTAAATATGTGTGTGTAAGCTTACATAAATCATTAAAACCGTAATAAATAATCATATAATAAATTAATAAACAAATTACATCAACACGAAACTTATTATTTATAAAAAATGTAACTATACTATATTTTATTCAATATTCCTAAAAACCATTTTCCTTTCCCATAATAATTTTTATATTCTATTACATTTCAACACTTAATTATCATCATTATAAAAATAAAGATACACATGAAGAAAATAAATAAAAAAATATAACAATTAAAAAC